TATATGTATATATATATATATATATACATACCATATATACGCTTATATACTTAACGGAAATATATATATATATTTTACCCTTCGGTTATAGTTCGTACGCGTTCGTACATCTATTAAAAAACGGGGGAATCCCTTGCATGGGGAGGAATAGGCGGAATCGCATAATCGTCCCGCAACCGATCGAGCTTCACCTTCATATTCGCCAGTTTCCGATCACTTGCAACCACTAGATCTCACCTCTCCCTCTCATCATGGATCCCGCCATTCAGGAAATCCTGAATTATTCCCCTCTTCCTCTTGAGGAACGAATCCCTCTCCCTCCTCTTCTCGAAGAAGGATTTTCTCTCCTTCCTCTCTTAGACCACTTCCCAATTCTTTCTTATCAACCCGATTCCATGCCGATCGACTGGGACTTTTTAGATTGTATTTTTCCCCTCGAATGAAGGGGACAGGATAGTTACAGTCTACATCCCTGGGAACCCCACCCCTTACACCGTCCTCTACAAACTGTCCTTATCTCAATGTGCCTGCACCACCTTCCTCGCCTCCAATACCCAATAACTTTATTTCTTCTTCTCAACACACACACACTCATAGCTAAACTTCCATAGCTAAACTCTTACTCAGCCATACTAAACAAATAGCTTATATCAATAATGATAAATTTTTTTTTATATTTGTATAAATATATATATAATTATTTAAATGTTTGAAGATGGCTCAATCGATAATACAAATATAAATAATAGGAAGCATATAGCCACAACAACAGACGTTAAAACGAAAATCATATATTTAATATTATTATAAAAAACAGACGTTTCAATCAAGATTTGACTATCAGTACATCAAGATAATAAATAAATAATTACAAAAAAAATTAATTAATTACGCAAAAATCGCTAATCAAAAAGATGGTAATACAGTATCAAGATGACGAATAGAAAAGAATTAAAAACAATGATCAATAAGATAAGAAAAAGAATTTTCCAATCGCTTGTACAAGTTAATCGACTAAGATAAAGTCCAGAGAATTAACTAAGAAAAAATTTGTTTTAATGCTTCTGGCAATTAATCTGTTCCGTTTATGATTCCTTTTTAAAGGAAGTAAAAAATGACTTCGTGTAATACGGAATTTCCAGATTCTATTTAAAAATTAAAAGAAGAGAAAACGCTTTTTAATAATTTAAATTTTACAATATATTAAGTATTCATGAAAGTCAATCCAAATTCACATTAACACTCGCTTACTACATATTTTTTGATACAAGTCCTCACAGATGTAACTTGGAGTAAATAACACAATTTAAAAAACAAGAACAATCTGAATAAATGGTAAGAATCACTGCTGACAAATTTTTTGGAAGATCTTAGCTCGTGACAGAATTTATATAATGTGAAAGGAAAGGAGAGAGAATGATAATGGAGAGGGTAGTTCTATATGTGGGTAGAGGGGATAGTTTTAATGATTGGTAGGTAGATTTCAGGAAAGCGTTCTATGTCACTTTGTTTATTTAAACCATTTTCTTGTCGTTTAATATGTATCATCTCGGAAATTATCCTTTTACAATAAGATTGTTCTGAATCAAGAATGCTACGAGTAGCATTTCTCCAATCAATCGCATGATCAAATTTGTGACGAGAGATAACAGACAAAAAATTTATAGGTTTTTTTTAAATCGTTATGTGTTCTTTTAAACGTGTTTATAGTTAAACGTTTCCTTTTTGTCTGTCCTACATAAGAATAATTGCAATCGTGACAGTTAATTTTATAAACAACATTTTAGTGTTCTTCTATTTTGATTTTGTCTTTGCCTGTTTAAATGAATTTATTCATACAATTCATTGATTTATAAGTTATGTTGAAGTCGAATTTTTTGGTAATAGATAAATTTTTCAGAAATTTTATTGAAGTAAGGAATGGTAAAATATTTTTTAACAATCCTAGAGGAATCCGAGTTGGCAATATCTTTATGTTCCTTGATATTTTCAAAATTATTTTTGGAAGATAACGCCTTGATCTTGTTGTTAATAATTGTAAATAAAAATTCGGATGGATATCTATTATTTTGGAGAATTGATTAGGGAAATGATATTATTTTCATGAAATTTTGAATGGGAAAAGAATAGAATTCTATCCAACTGCCCAATAACAACACTCTTTTTGTGTTCAACAGGATTAGAAAAAAAATTTAAATGAATTTCTTACAGAATTTGTATTACTTTCTGTAATTGTCAAAAATAATTTTCTCATTTTCAATTAACAATTTTATTCGAGAAAATTTATTACTCCATCATCGTCATATTCGACCATAAATTTGATTCTTTATTCATAAAAATTAAAAAAGCATAGGATTGTGTTAATATGCTCGTTTGGAGCTGCAATATTGATGACATCAACATAGCGATAATAAAGAAGAATATGTGTGGTTAGTATCTTAAATATGCTGCATTCCAAATTTTGTATCATATTAGCTAGAATTGAAGAGAGAGGAGATCCCAGAAGATGGGCAGACCGAATATTTGTTCGTAAATTTTATTATTTAATTTAAAAAAGTAGACTTCAGAATAATTGAAATTGCTATTTTAAATTCGTGCAATGGTATTGTCGTGTTATTGTATATCAAATCCCATCTTTCCAGACATTTTTAAAGCTAAATCGTTAGGAATGTTTAATACATAGAAGTGATGAATGATACAATTTGATAATTTTCTTGTAATGGCATATCATTAATTTTTTTAACGAGATCGAAACTGTTTTTAATATAACTAAAATTTTTTCCGTTCTAGTAATTAAATCAGGATGATCAACAACAAATGATTGAATCCTTCCTCTTTGAGCCCTTTTATTCAAAGTGGCATTCGAATTATTCGGAAAACTAAATTTTATATTTTCAAGAATAGGTATAACCTCTTTTCTAATGGAATTCTTTGTTCTTTCGTTTAATTTAGGTAAATTATTCTTTATATGTTTGATATATTAGTAGCTTAAGGAAGATTCTAACTCACGAACAGAGCAACCAGCAGCTGGCTCTAGTGTCGCGCGGGTGAGAAAGGCGAAGTCACAGATGCTGGGTTTGATGAGGAGAAATGTGTCATCAGGGTCCGTATTAGAGAGGAAAAGAGATTTGTTCCTTCTCTCTTTCACCCGTTGCATTCTCACTTTAAATTATTGTCCTCTCTCTCT